GAAGTGCTGTGCACTAATTAATATCCCTAATATCTCTACAGGTTTATTTTTACCTACAGACGAGGGCCGTGCTGACCACAAGTACACTGCTTCCTGTTCAAGGATGAGGAGCATCCAGCTGGGCCAGAGAATGAGCACTGAAAGAGCAGGTATTTGCCTGCAAAATACCATGCAAAATATTACACTGGCTTTGAGAATGAACAATGCCAGTTAGAAGAGAGAGCCAGCGAAGTCTGATGTTCAGGCTGTAAGATACTTAACCTTTTTTTTCTTTCATGAGTGTTAAGCATCCCACATGCTTTCAGTAATAATAACAGTAGTAGTAGTAATAACAATAAAAAAGCAGTCTCTGAAACAAATGACAGAAACTCAAAATACATTCTAAGTATTAAGTTTTATACTGAAAATTATGCTCTAAAAGGTACAATTTAGGAAATCGTTATTAAGCAGCAGGAATAAAAAAAGATTGAATTCTTCATGAATAAAGGTAGGATAAGACTATTCGGAAAGCTTTTGTCATTGAAACTACAAAACTGAATGATGAATCAGTTTCTGGTATGTCACTGGAGTGAAATGTCTCTTCCATATAAAAATGGCTTTGAAAATAGAATCATCATCTTACTTTTCATGGGGATCTCAGGAAAGGAAAAAGAAAATACACAAATTATATTTCCCAACAAAATATAAACCCTCTCCATAAAAATACTTCAAACAGGCAGAAGGCTTGTGGACACTTCAATCAAACATAATATTTATATACTATTATAAAAAAGTAACAAGAAAATTACATCAAAATGCCAAAGTTTCATTTAGAAGATGCATACTGGTACAGCTTTTCTTTTATACACAAAATAGGAAATGCTTTATTATATCAAATCCAGTCAATTTGGGATATAAACTTATTGTTAATAAATATAAGCAATTCTCTGCCTACAGTGCTGCCTCTTGCAGAGAAAAATTGTCTTTCATCAATCACCAGGTTTGTAAAGCTGTATCCAGACTGCTGCAAAGACTTACAGACCACGCTCTCAGTTGGCCTGTCACAACCTTGATTTCAAAGGCACAAGCCAAGTTTACAGTTACAGAGGGCCTGGACCTGTATTTATTATGACTGTCTGTCTTTTTTAGTGCTTCTATTGCTGTCTGCATAGAGAAGCAGATTAACTGGGCATCTCTGTCTGCGAGGATGAATATACTTGCAGCTGATATCTATGAGAAAGGACAGATGTTTCCCCAGTAGTTTGTTTCCAGAGACTAGATTAGTTTGTGAAGGAGTTAGTCCACACTCATTTAGGGGGCAGTTAATTTATGGGCTGGCCTTCAGGTGTTTAGGGGATTGAATCCTGGGAGCAGTACTTTGAGATCAGGGAGGAAAAAAACAAAGGACTAGATTACAAGGTGATAGGTTAGGATATCCCAGATTTTTTTTTCTGTATGTATATATGTCCCTAAACAGAGGTGTCTGCAGTAGTTTGACTCATGCTGGACTGACGTTCCTTGCCCACCAAGTCTCCTTGAGACTGAGAGTCCTTTCCCATTTCTGGAGTGATGATTGCACATTTGTACATTAGAGCTAGCTAAGAACCCCACACTGTAGCAGATAATTTCCTGTAATGACATCCAAAACCTGCTTGTAAATGTTGCATTTGAATAAATCACACCATTTGTGAACTCCTACTTGTTTTGAAGGTGTTTGGACCCTCGGTCGACAGACTGTTCATAAATCCAGCGCTGCCAAAGTTAGGCCTATAGCTACCACAGCATTTGGTATCCCTATTAAGAGATGAGTCCAGTTGTTTCCAGTCCCTCTATCCTCTGAGGAGATTGGCTGGATCACAAGGGCATTCATCTCTTACCAAATTAGCCTCCCTCCTTCCATCCCTTCTCCCCCTGCCCCACTTCAAGCTGCATCAAGGAAATCTTGGTGCACATAAGTTTATAATTTGGACAAAAGAGGTGCCTCAGCTTTTCTCTGCTTCCTGCTACCTAACCCCACACTGACCTGCAACCTCCACACTTACCTGCCCATGAGGCTGAGAGGAGCATTCAGTCCAGCACTTCCCCCTCCTCAGCCAGCACTAAACTGTTACAGAAGATGCAGCTGTCTCTTCAGAAATGTCCCACAGCTACAAGAAACCCTGTACCATAAAGAAGTGTTGGTCACATTTTAAGAGTATGTCCTGATTTTACTCAAGAATGCGTACCTGAGGGAGGCTAGTATAACCTCGGTGGCGTAGCTAGCTACTGTAGCTACTACTTCTATAAATATATGTTGGTTTTCTGTTTGCTTGCTTTGTTTTGTTTTAATGAAGTATCAGGAATGGATTCTGCCCTGCTGGCAGATCCAAAGCAAGCTCATCACGAGGAGCGCTGGCACTGGCAGACCATTGCAAATGCTGTGTTCATACCCTGGGGTGAATTAAGAAGACATTACAGAAAATCAGATATTTCACCTCTGAGGCACTGATATCTTAGTGCTGCTTCTGCTCAAGTGCAACTGTAAAAACTAAAATCTCTCCAATTTGTTCAGCAGCAAATTTCAAACCACAAAATGATATTTAAATGGAGTGTTACCTAAAGAGGCTCTTATCTCATTCCAAAACTCCTTCCTTTGCCTCCTTTAAAGAGGGAGAGAGGCAAAATATCCTTAAAGAAAATTTAGCATTGAGAGAAGCCCTGAAATATTCTAGTTGGAGTTGGAGTCTCTGTTGGAGTTAAGATGGCTCAAGATTAGTAACTAACCTTGCACTGCTTTAAGACATATTGTAGAACATTAACTCTGAGTGTGCAAGGCATCAGTAAGCTATTCTCTCCACAGGCACAGAGAGAAATTTTCACATTAAACAAGTTATACTGTGTGTGCCAATCACATATGGACACAAATTCTTCTGTTGTTCTCTGGAGAAGGCCATTGTTGGAAACAGGATACTGGATAACTAATCTGATCTGATACCATATTTCCTATGTTCCTTGAGACAAGGAAAACAGGGTGATGGCCTGCTTTTCTATACATCTATGCAAAAGCCAGAAGGATCCAAACAAGAAAGCAGGTGAGATGAGAGTCCACGAAGTGTCCAGCCACTTCAAGGAGCTAGTTTTGTGTAAATTAGTTAATTCACAGGTGGCCCCAGGAATATACCTAGAACGAGTATTAAAAGAAAATCCTATCAGATCCCTAAGAACACATTCCTTTTTTTTTTTTTTCAAAATTCCAGCAGTAGTAGAACAAATTTTGTTTACAGAACTGATACAAAATTTACCATGGATAGAGAGAAACACAAAGAGTTAGCCAAGGATTGGACAAGGCAGATTACTGATCTTTCCCCTTCTAAATTGATTTTGTTTCTACATTTCCTTAAACATGAAGCTGCAAACTATACAAGGATTAACGTAGATACAAGGATTTTGCCAAGACACAAGTTTGCGATAGATCTCTTAGCCACATATAAATGTTTTTTTCACTCCTGTGATATGTCTGAATTTCAGCTATATATTACTTCTTCGAATGGATTGTTTTAATGTGGAAAAACCTAGGGAAATAGGCTTTTCTTTTTTTAAATAATGTAAGAGCAGTATTTCTTATTCTTTTTTTCCAAGAATTGCTGATACCTGAAGCCCATCTTTCTCAGAATACTACACATTGAGAAACTGATTTTATATATATATGTATATATATGTATATATGTATGTATGTCTTTAATCGAGGACAAATGACTTTCTTTACTAAAACAGAAATCTGTCTAATAATTTTATATTTATGGAAAAATCCAAGTTTAAATCCAAATTGTTTTTTCGAAAAAAGCAAGCAAGCAAGCCAACTACACTAAAGAGATTTCTGCTCATAGGTTAAGCAATATAGATGTTTCAGTTATGGAAATCCTTTAAAAACCCTGCATTTCCACCATACATTTTGATTCATATATTTCCCTAGGTTAGGTACATTTAGGAAGGTAAGTCTTGCTGAACTGCCACACTGTAAAATGAGATCTGGAATATTAGTTTCTGTTATAGATGTAATATTAGCATTTTTAATTCACAGAAACAAAGAAAGGATCACTTGTTTATTAGTATTCAAATAATTATTTATAAAAAAGCAGAATACTGGAGTATATTATTTTGTAGGTGTTATCAGCATGAATCTGGGATATTGTATTTATCCTAAGCAGCAAAAATGCAAGAGCAGTGCATTTATATCCAAGTGAGCTTAGATAAAGGAAAACAATAATGTTTTATTCATATCCTGTATAAATGTGTAGCTATGTTTGTATAAGAATGTGTGTTTTGTTTACAGGTATGTATAAATTCAAAAAAAAAAAAAAAAAAAAAAGGAAGCAGAAGTAATATATTTTCCCAGAGACATAGACATTGTAGAGTCTCCATCCTGGATATTCAAAAGGCGTCTGGGCAAACTTCTTTTACAGAGGGAATGGACTAGAAGATCTCCAGAAATCCCTTCCTACATCAAACATTTTTTGATTCTGTGAAATACACAAATAAATAAATATATAAAAATGTGAGATAAGTTTCTAAAAAAGTAGCCAGTAGATGTGATATTTCTTGTTGGGATGACCCAGGTGATAGGTTTCATACTAGGTTTCTGCTATGAGTTGCTTCTGGAGGATGTCTATGTGTGCCTTCTGCTTCCCCGAGTTGCTCACAGAGATCAGCCTCCCACTGCTCAGTGCTTCATGCCTGGCAGACCAGAGCAGGGCAACAGTCATGCCCTCTATAGTTATCATGTCTTGGGAGCATGAGCACAGGCAAACATAGGCCATGCCTCCTAAAATAACTTTTTTTTTTTTTACAAATACATGCTCAGAAACTTAAATATGCATATCAGTTTCAGGACCATAAAATTCCCTATCCCAGCTCTTATCAGGGCTATAAGTGAATCTTGGTCTCTTTGGGATCTTCCTATTCTTATCATACAAAACGTCCAGTTTTATTTCTCTAGATCTGTGCACTATTAGACTTTTACATATAAGGAACCTGCCTTTTTTTCAGGATTCTTTCTTGTTCTTCAGGAACAAGGGTAAATATAATTTCAGGATATTTGCTGAAGAGAGCAAACAATTGAGTGGCAACAGAGACTGTAAGGAAAAGGGGAGGAAGAAAAGGCATCAGTTAGAAACTGCTTAAAAATATGTGTGTTCCATGCAGTTTCTGGAGAAGAAAGTAGCAGGCAGAAAAACTAGTCAAAAGTATATGATACATATATATTTAACCACAAGAATCTCACCCACTTCTAAGTGACAGATGAAATCATGTAACACATACACTAGAAATGTCAAGCGAACCATTCAAAAAACCATGGAAATTGTCCACCCTTTTGTCTTTTTATGTTACAGCAAGAGACAGCAGACAAATGAGCCAATCAATCATTGCTTATATACCCAGCCTCGTAGAGCTTCCAGGATGTTGTATAATTTGTGATTTGACCTCTTGGTACCTTCCTCTTGCTGAAGTTCTCACAGAAAAAAATGATGTGCCAATGAAGAGTGACACAAGATTCATCTTTTTTGACTGGCTAGGTCACAATGACTGCTTGGGTTTGTCTATAGCAGTCTGCAGTCTGGGAGACAGTCTGTGGCGTGACATTTAAAAGTTTCACCAGGAAAGCCACAAACGCACTTAGGTCAATTCAGTGGGGCATTGGGTGATCCATAATATACTTTTGTGATCTTCCCTCGGCTTCTGCAGCAATGAGCCTTATATTTCAAAATTTCTTTGATTAAAAGAGACAACTGCTCTGCATAGCACCTTGCAACCGTCTGCGCTGCACTGTGTCCACTCATTCTTTGTGTGGAGGAGAATTGTCCCTGCGCATGCAAAGCCCTTGGTGCTGCAGGACTGCTGTCACAATTTCTGCACTGTTCCCGCTTGGGTGGCAATGGATGTGGCCAAAACCAGTGAGGGGCTGCCTTTACGTCTGGCTGATCTTCTCATGCAGAGCAGACACACTAAGCTCCCTGGCAGCTGGCGTTGCCTGCCGAGTGCTGTAATGTCCTCTTTGGAGCTGGCCCAGCCCTCCTGCTGGTGGCCTGGACGGAGGCTTATGGAAGCACATTCTCAAGCACCTGCTCCTTTAGCAGCCTCTGAAATTGTGTTGTGTTATTACCGCTGCAGGGACCGATTGCTGCTGCTTAGTGAAATGGATCGAATCCTAGTACTCTGTCTCCAGCTGCCTCTTGCATGTGGCAGTGTCCAGAGCACCTTGAGGCTGTGGTGACTCATTATTAATGGTAAATTTTGTGGTGGTAACCACTGGTGGGGAATTGCCACCACTATTTGTTTAGGAAAACATCAGTGAGTTAGCCACTTCCCTGTCCTGCTGCCTTTGTTCTCCCTGCCAGATCCTAATTTAATATGCCAAATGAAACTGGATGTGACGGGGAGTCCTCCAGCATGCACTCTCTGCTCACACATCCACTCACCTCCCTTGCTGCTCTGCTGTTTCCTTGTGATTTATGGCCCACTGGCAATCCACATGGAGCAGGACCGGAAACTTTACACCAAGTGAATCAATTACAGCGTACTAGATTGATAGGACACCTACAGTATTTAAAAATAATTGAACTGTGAATGGTTAAGTAAATTGAAAAATTCTATAAGCATGAGTGCTAGGTAATTAGAAATGGCAACTGTAAAAGAACAAGAGTATTTTAAGCAGCAACAACAGGAATAAATGTTAAATTTCTGGTATTTTGGAGGTCTGTTTCTACTTTCAGTCTGTAAAAGCCATCATCAAATCTAAATCTAAACATGATAGGAATCATAGAATCGTTAAGGTTGGAAGGGACCTTTAGAGGTCATCTAGTCCAACCTCACTGCACACACAGGGTCACCTAGAGCATGTGGCACAGGGCTGTGTCCAAGAGGGTTTTAAAGACCTCCAGAGAGGGAGAGTCTACAACTTCTCTTGGCAACCTGTTCCAGTGCTCTGTCACCCTCACTGTCAAGAAATTTTTCATGAAGTTCTTATGGAATTTTTGATGCTTTAGTTTGTGGTTTTTTCCTCTAGTCCTATCGTTGGCCACCACTGAAAAGAGGCCGGTCCTTACTCTCTCCCTTAGCATCCATGTTGCCCTTGCTCATCAAGGCACACCTTGATGAGGCCAAAATCTGCTACCTTCACCACAGCTGTGCGAGATCAGGATGTTGTCCACCTTCAGGTCACTGCGCAGGACATGGTTGCGATGCAGGAAGGCCACGGCGCTGCTCAGCTACCACATGAATATGTTGTTGAGGTGGGCATCAGGGTCGTGCACCAGCAGGTACTCGTTCATGTTGTTGCCATGGCAGAACTCCATGACAAACCAGAGGAAACAGGCAACCTTGGGGTCCGTGCAGCGGCACGTCTTGAGGCAGGTCTCCATGAGCCACAGGCGGCTCTCAGAGCGGCTCCAGTGCTGCCGTAGCGGCTGGAAGAGGCAGCTGCTCTGCAGGACACGCTCTTCCAGCTGCACCATGTGCTCGTGCTGCCTGACGATGCTCCACAGGGTCCAGAACTCCGGCAGTTCTGTGGCTCCTTGACACAGCTGGTTGTTCTGCTCCTCACAGAGCACTCCTCTTCCAGCCTGAAACATTTAAATCAGAAGTAACACTCATGTTGTCTAGTTTTCCATTTCTAATGACCTAAAGTTTCATTTAGCAGTTTCAGAAGTTCATTCAGTTTCTTTATTCATATTTGCATTGATTTCGTTGAGCTTCACAGCATGTCAATAGTGGGAATACATGATATGTCATATGACACGCTATCATATTTACTTCATTTTTTAAATTGTTAATTTTCATTAATAATGATTTGCTATCTTTGTTTCAGGTTCATAATATCTTCTGCTTGTATTGTATTGACAGATTGTTGCATAACCAAAGTTGTAAGGCTTCCTAACTGCCTGTTAAAGTTCATTTATCCTAGCAAGCAATTATTTACAGTAGTAGTATCATGGAGTCAATGGGACTAATGGCATGCTCAAGAGGAGTGAAGATGATACAACAGGACGACACATACCTAATGATTTAAATATATATTGCAGTTGATATGTGGAGCCCCTTCCTGCCTTCTAAGTTCAACAGGATCTGAAGGGGTTCAGCACTATTAGAGACATTTAGCATCTTCCAGGGTTAGCCCTCTCTGCCCCAGCGAGCTCTCTTCACTCATCAAAATGACATTTTTAACTGTTCCTCACAATAAAATACTACAATTATAATAGATGGTAAAAAAAAGTTATTATTTTTGGAATAATATAAAATAACTAGTCATTAAAAATAATATCTAGGAAAACAGTAAAATAGTTGTAACTCTAACTTCAGAAACACACTGTGCAGCTTGTGAATTTTAATATATGATACAGGCTATATGTTTTATGGGTATACTGTTCTATCAGAAAATGGGAGTCATGCTTCTAGTAGCCTATCACACAGTTTTTATAATATCATTGCAACATACCTCTGGAGGAGAAATCATACTATAAAAGTAAATAGCAATATTCTCTGAGATTTTAGATTTTTTTATTCTCATCTTGTCAGCCTGTTTAAGCATGTATAGCATATGTTTGCTTTCCCCACCAATGCATAACAACAAGAAAGCCTGATCTGTCCTATACCAACAACAACCCATAAGAAATTTCATAGAACTATTTTCTTTTTTTTGGGGGGGAGCATACTTATAGATATACATATCATATATAGTAATATATGATATATTGTCTTCCTTTCATCTCTTAAAAAGATGGAAATATCCCTTCTGTATAGCATAATAATTTGCTTAATTTAATGTACATTTAGTAATGTTAACAAGGGAGAAATGTTTAACCTAACTGTACTTTGCACTCAGAATAAATTGCGTCTTTAAAATGTGCTTGCATAGTCTACAAATCTTAACTCTCAGTCCTGGTGAACAGCTTCTCTGATACTCTATGTTAGAGGAAAATGTCCATTAACTTTCAGGACATTTCTGGGAAACTAATCCCCAGGGAGGATGAAATTCAGAAGAGTCTGGCAAATCTGCACCTTTGATCCACTCTCCACACAGCAAAACTAGACAGGTTTATGCCAAAGACTTAAACAAAAATTCTTGGGGAATTCTCAGTCCACAAGTATCTGCAATCTTTACAATCTAGGATACTTTTCATTAGGTAATATCTCAGGTTTTTAGCTCTTTCATATGCAAGTCAGTTTGCAGGAATGACAGGAGGAAAAGCCACTGAAAACCTCTGTTTAGCCCTCTTTCTCTACCATGTAGTAGGCACTGACTTGGTATGCAGGGGGTTGTTTAAAGGGTTTAAGGAAAAACATCACTTTTGTGCTTCCTTGTCTTTGTCCCTCTCTTTAAAAATAATTAGATTACTGCAAATTTAAAAGCCTATGACAGGTGATATGTGGTTAAATCATTTTTCAAGACACGGGAATTTAGATACTGGTGAATGCCTTGAGATATCTGTCAGAATTATGTTTAAAAAAAAAAATGGTTCCCTCTGCTGTATACTACAGAGCCTAATATGCTCTTATTGACAGTATTGGAACAATAGTAGCAAAATCATTCCTTTTTGATGATAGGTTGGTGTGGAAGAGCTGCTCACCTCTGTTAGCATTTTAAAACACACTGCTAATTACAATAACTGTGCTTTGAGTAGTAGCAATACAGAAATCTTTTGCAGAAACCTAACTCCCAAGTGAGACAGAGCACCATATTATTTCACTGGGTTTTATGTGATAGTTTTGGCATGAGAAGGTGGTGACAATGCTACAGAACTTCATCCATTGACTGTGATAAGTGCAGCAACAAAAGAAAAAATGCTGAATAGACAATGATACCCAGCATCTGTTATTGTTCTTCCAAGACTTCTTTATATCTTTTTTTTTTTATATTTGAAGAGGTTTTAGTCAGCATTCCAAAAATTGCGTTTAAAAGGCAGCACATCAAAAATCTACAGATACTGCTTAGGTGATTCTAGTTAATTTAATGGAAATTGGCAGTGAATGTCAAAGGAAATACTGTTGAAAGTCTCGGACTTGCAATATAGATGAAATATTCCAGCTTACTTAGTGGCTCAGCTTTGTTTCATAATTAGTTTTCTTTGTCTAGCTTCTAAGTATCTATGAACTGGATTTTCTAGACGGATCAAAGAAGGTGTTTTTAAATAGTCAGTCCTCAAGAGGAGTATTTCAGGTGCTCTGAAACGCTCTCCTTAGCTTCCAGCAACTGTGTCATTCAAGCAGCCTAGTTGTAGGAGCTGATCTATCTATTCTGTATTTTACTTGTAGACTCTTACTATAAGTTCCATCTCACTCTGGGAAAGTCTGAAGTGATTTTGGTTCCTGTGCAAGTCAATGGATACCTAAATGTCTGTGAAATGGTAGCCTGGCAGCAAGGTAATCCTCCTATATTTCCTTTAATGACAGTCTTTTTCACTGCCACCTTATCTCATTAATCCTGTCTCCAAAAGTTAAAAAAAGGATCCTTATATCCACATAATGGGTTGCATGTGTTTTCAAGTTCTCTTCTGTAGTCCCATTTCCCTGACCTCATGAACTAAATGAATTAAAGTTTCTGAATCACTTTGCATCCTATAGGACCATCGACTAGAAAGCATATGCCATTTGATAGTTCAATAAATTCTTGATAATGTTCTCCCCCACCTTTCCTGTGAAAGCTCCAATGCTCCCTGCTCCCTGTGCAATGCCTGCTGAGTAACTGGATACACAGGTAGCTTAGTCCACATTTACAGACTGTAACAAGGAACAACCTACAGACTCCTAGGAGGTTTCCATGAGTACATGTAGGAAGGAAGGAGAATTTATTTTAGTGGTAAACTGGCAAGGTATATTCGGATAAACTTCCGAATATAACAAAGAGTTAATACATGGAACTCTATCCAAATCCTTGTGTCCTACCCGTATATGCTTTTTTTGAGCCTCAGAGAAAAGCACTGTAAAGTAACTTGCCACCAGAAAGGAGGTATTCACCAACATATGTGGTTAGCAGCATGCCCTTGCCTCATTTTCCTGGTGAGGAAAAGAAACAAAAAGATCAAATGATTTGACCAAGGAAATGAAATCAAATTTCTTGAGTTCCATGCAACTGCTGGAAGTTTTGGATCAACTTTCCTCATCACTATTGCTTTGAGTTTTGCCTTAAGAAATCCAGCACTCCACTGCAGGTGGTCTGCACTCTTGAGTCCCACTTGTTTCTCCAGGGCAAGGAGCTGTTTTCTCCCAATCATTAAATAAACTATTGGAAAATGCACTGTTTCAAATAAAAGATTTTATCATTTACTGCTGAGGGAATACACATCAATAATTGCTCTCAACTTCCCCGTGGGAGCTGAGACGCTGGGGTGAGCAGCAAGCTTTCGGGTGTGCTTCATAAAGCTCAGAGATTAGAGGAGTCCCTGGAGCTTCTCAGAAGGAAACCATTCTGTTTTCAGTGCATAGCTCTAAGGATGCAACTTCAGGGAATGTGCATGTCAGGAATAAGCCCAGATCTTAACCCGGAGAGGCAAGTGGCTTGGTACTGCTGTGCACAATCTCGTTTGGGGTCTCTTTACTTCATATATATCCACAAAGCAATCTCATGAGGTGGTGGAAAAGGGGCTTGAAACAGAGGATCTCAGAGAAAGCATCCAGCATGACATAGAATTTGATGGGAAGGTTTCCCTTGGATGAAACACCAGCAGTCTTTCCCTCTGTGCAGGCTAGCTCTGCTTTTACTCTTTCTGAAGTTATGAATATTTTTGACTTCTTTCCACTTTTGTAATTTTATGTGGTTTTTTTTTTTTTTTTTTTTTTTTTTTTTTTTTTTTTTTTTTTTTTTTTTTTTTTTTTTTTTTTTTTTTCTATGAGCTTGCAGTGTTTGTGCATCTGAGAGCGTAGCCTCTCGGCTTGTTTGCAGGAGCGAGTAACAAAACAGATAATGTCTGTGTCACTGGTCTAAAGAGAATAAACCTCTTTAAGAGCATAAATCAGTCTCCTGATGCTTGTCCTTGTAGAACTTAAGGGTAGCATGCTTATCAAAGAGGACAGGGATCAAGGGCTGGAACAGCTAAACTACGTTGCCATGAGTTTTTAAGCTTTTGGCAATTAATTAGTGATAGTGGGGCCCAATCTGCAAATGTACTGAAAACCTACTCTTCCTTACACTTTTGCCCAAACTGCAAAAAATACCAAATTGCTTCAGTTCTGGGAAGATCTTGAAATATCACGTGTCGGTTGGAATATCTCAGATGAAAGTCTGGACAAAGATAGAATATTAGGAGTTATGAGCAGAGGATGGGAAACTTGAAGCTCTTTTTTTTTAGCTTGGTTTAGTTAGGTTTTATTTCTGTTTGGTGTGGGGGGTTGTGTTTCTTATACATATAAATATAAAAAATCTTTTTCTTCTGTAAAATATTACCTATGCCTCCATGAATGTCACTTTTTGGCATAGTAATTTGCAGGAAGGAAGTAAATAATTCTGGATGAGAATATGCTTTTTATGCACTCAAGCAAGCCAAGGCATCTCCCAGCTGGGCATGAAACATTGATTTTGATCCTGGCCAACTGCACAGTCACATTAAATTGCTCCATCAAACCAACG